GGGCTTGTCCACCTGCTCAGCCAGTCTAGTGAGAGACTCGTCATCCAAGCCAAAGGCCACACTGTAAAGAATCATGTGAGACACCAAGAGGGCTACATTACAGACGAAAGAGGGGCCTGGAACAGGAACAGCACCGACAACACATGACACAATGGCCGCTTCCCAAATATGCTTCTGCAGTGCAGCCTTTTTCTTCTCCAGGATCTTTGCCGAGATGTTGGGCATGGCCAGGATGAACACGTGTCTCTTCTGCGCATCCAGCTCATTCTCCAGTGTCTCCTGCAGGAGCTGGAAATCGTAGTCAGCCAGTTCCCAGTTGCAAAGCAGGAAAACCTGTGGGGAGGCCTCACCCACTGCTCTCAGGTTCTCTATGCAGTCCTCCCTTATCTTATGCAGGGTTTTCTCCTTGCTGAAATGCCTCTTCCTTCTTTCAGCATTCAAGTCAGCATCCACTTTGGAGCGCACGTAGTAAAACCTCTTCCCCATCTTCTGAATCTCCTGGGCGAGGTTGGTGTGGTGGGAAGTGAAGCGCTCTGAGGCCATGATGATGAAGAAGTCATAGTTGTTGAAATTTACCTGCTTGAGGTATTTGTCTGGCTGAAAGTTCGGTGTTCCAATTCCTGGCAGGTCCCATATTGTTACACTTGAGAGTTTGGGGTGTGGGTAAGCATTTGGCTTCATCGTTTTTTGGGTTACTCCAGTCTCAGCAGCACCTTCATCATCATCATGCAGGCCCAGGATGGCATTGACGAAGGATGATTTCCCTGAACCTGATGGTCCTGTGATGGCGATATCCAGTGGGGTGTTTTCTAATGACTTTAGCTTCTCCTGAAGTTTAGCAGCTGCTGCCATGAGGTTTCCTGTCTCAACTACGGCCTGTAGTTCTTCTATTTCTGTTCTGGAGAGTCTACCAGCCATGGCAACCTTTGGCAGTGGCTCAGTTGCTCTTGCTACAGATCTTAGAAAAAGGAAAAGAAAAATTCCAGTGATTTATTTTTTAATCAGGATAAATCAAATCAGGTTGCAATTGGTTGGGGGGAGAAAGGTTAACTTTGACATCAATTTTAGCTGTATGAGATTATGAGGGACAGTACTTGGTCCTGCTGTGAAGGCAGGGGACTGGACTTGATGACCTTTCAAGGTCCCTTCCAGTTCTATGAGATAGGTATATCTCCATATTATAATGAAGTTTAACACAGTCTGATTATCCTAAAAGCAAACACCCAACCTTTAGCAATAGCAGATGCTCTGGGATGTTTAAATTAATCAAAGGAGGAAATCAACAGCTAAAGTTCAGTTCAAAACCATCTGCTCCGTACATTGTTGTGACAGGTTCCTCCCAGGGTGCCAACTGGAACTGGGGTACCACTAAGTCCCCCTGTCCCACCAGCCTGGGTTCCCTCTCACATTGTGCTGCTGTGACAAGTTGCAAAGCTCTCCAAACTTGCTCTTTCACCAGGATTCACACAGGTAGGGACACACCCAGCTGCAGAACTTACAGGCTGCTGTGATCAGCTCTGCATGGGGAGGCTAGAGCTAAGGAACTACCCAGCTGCTCACGAGCACCCCCTCTCCATCCGGAGTGTAAACCCAAAATTATACTGTCGTGTGCTGCCCAGCGAATGTACAGTGTAAGCTCGTGAAATTCGCCCCCTCCCTCAATGTGGAGAGGACTAGGCAACAGCTTTCTGCCCAAGTTTTAGTGCCCACACACAGATTCGTGATAAAGCAAAACACAAGTTTATTAACTACAAAAGAGATTTTAAGTGATTATAAGGGACAGCAAACAGATCAAAGGTAGCAAATAAACAAAAGTGCACCCTGAACTCAATATCCTAAAGAGATTGGATAGAAGTAGCAAATTCTCACCCTAACCAATGATTTAAGTGAGCTGCTGACATTCGTAAGGGACCAGCTGTACTTGCTTGCAGCTTAAACACAAGGTATTCCTTTCGCAGGTTAAAAAAAAATCCTTCTCAAGCACTTCCTCCCAGTTCAGTCCTCGTTCCTCAGGTGATTCCAAGAGTCTCTTTCGGGTGGGGAGTCAGCGAAGAATAATGATGATGTCACTCCCCTGCATTAAATAGCTTTTGCATATGACCGGAACCTTTGGTTTCCAAGCTTGGTTCCCCCGTCTTTCAGTGGAAAAACACTGGTATTCCAAAATGGAGTCCTGCACCAGGTGGCCTGGTCACATGCCCCTGTACAGCCATAGCAGCCAAAACTCGGAGGCTGTTCGTAGCATCCTCAGGCATGCTCCCTGGTAGTAGACTAACTTCTCCTAAGACCAATTTTTCTCCCTAATGGTCCATTGACTTGAATGGGCCCTTCCCAGACAGCCATCTAGACTGACAGTCTTTTGCCTAGTGGGCGTTCCCCAGGTGTAAACACATTTGTACTAGATACATAGACAATATTCCTAACTTCAGATACCAAAATGATACATGCATACAAGTAGGATAGTCTATTCAGTAAATCATAACCTTTCCAATGAAATCTTACATGTTCTATCTTGCATAAAATACATCATAATTGTGCCATATTCATGTCATAATAATATCACTATAAAGAATATGGGGTGTAGTGCCACAACTGTATTTTCAAAACATTGCCATACATACCTTGCCACTTATCCCTAGCATGAACAGCTAAACAACTGCAATGATCTGGCTTATTCCTGGGTTTATTCTCTCCACATCAGTTGAGCTGTAGGGAAACGTTCTACCAAAGATCTCCAGTGGAATGGTGCTTCCCAGCAATTATAATATCACTCCACAGTGATTTCTTTGAAAGAAGCCACAGAAACATATACAGGTGAGCGCTTTGCTTTTATTTGATGATCGTGCATTACACAGAAAAACCCTTCATATATTTAATTTCCTGAGAGAGGTGGAAAACTAGATGCAATGGAAAAGATCAGTCTCTGAAACTTTAAATATGTAGTAGGGACCTCAACAATACGTAGTAAAGGACTAAAAGGCATAGCAGTCCCATTTCATCACAAATTATCACAATATTAATCAAGACAAAAAATGTTGCAGGAAGTTCACATTGCTCCCAGACAGAACACAAAACCCCCAAATACAGGACACAACAAGTATAATATCTGTGATTTATGCAGCAAAGATCACATGCTAATAAACTTAGATCACAATATGTGCATTGATGCATTAATACCATCTCTGAAGACAGATCATACCTCACAAAACGCAGTCTTAGCTGTGATTTAAAAGACAGAAAGAAACCCAATTTTTTTGATCAAAACAAAACAAAAACAAACCTACCAGCTTTAGCTATCATTCAGTGATAAGATTTTTTAAAATTAAAAATGAAGTATAAGGAGTGCCTAGTTTGGATTATTGTTGGACTCATTAGCATATGTAGAATATGCATGGAGCAAAAAATTAGACCCCAAAATTGTATATATTTTTTAGAAAACGAATCCCCCCCCCCAAAAAAGTTGAGGCAATCCATTCAGCATTTTAAAAAGAGTTCTCATTCTGTGTAGATGAACCCGCTCTGCACCAAACCTGCACAAACATTTCCAATACTGTGTACATTTTAATGTTTCTGTATCTTACCAGTTTTACAAGATCTCTTAAAAATCAGAGTTTAATCGTCCTGTGAAAAGGGAAACTGCCACAACCGTAGCTGTGGAGTTGCCACCACTCCACCATAGCAAATGTCAGAATTGATGCTGGTTCCTCTGCCTGAAGGAGATGTTGTTTGTAATGCCACAGTTAATGGTGATTCCCAGGATGCACTTGCTACCCCTTTTGGCCCAAGCAGTTTTGCTAATATTTGGGATCTTGCTGGTTGTTTCTGTTAGGAGGAGAAACGGATGAAGGAATCACGTATTTCTTTGATGTAATCTGGATTATTTTCACAGAAGGTTCTCAAAGGACATGATGGACAAGAGAGATCAGCATTGCAGCCCCTTTCACATACCTGACCATCCTGTGGAATTCGTAGCCCCCAAGTCATGTGCCCAAGCTCATACAATGCCTGGTGAGAGTCAGGAACCTAAAAAGGGATTCACAGAAGCCCCTTCTACAGAGACCTCCCAGATCCCAGCACTGCTCCCTGAGGTATGAGGATGGGGTCTGGGGAAGATGCTCTCTGCTAGAGTAACTCCCACACCTCCTGGGTGTGGTGTTCTGTCCCATCTAGGGGCACAGAGACAACTTAGAGAGAAAGAGTTAATGAGTCTGCTCTATAGCGTTAGCTAACAGGCAGTTGGCTTGTAACTCATGCAGTAGAGACTCATGCATTAAGCTCCAGAAGCCCCAAGTTTGATGGCGCCCATCAGCATTACATTAGCACTGAACAAGGAGCTTTATTAGAATAAAGGGGACAGACTCATCCCTACATAGGATACCTCATCTGCCTCTCTGGATCTCCTAGAGCCTCTCCAGCCTTCCACAGCCCCTCTCCCCCCAGCACACACATACCTGGGTACCTGCTGTGGATTTAAGCCACAATATATGTATCCTCCCCCCCTCCAACCTGATCTGCCCCCTACATCCCATGTGGTACCATACCTGTGTCAGGCTGTGTCACCGATGCAGTAGATGACCCAAGTGCTGAGCGTTGCACCAGAGAGCAGCTGAAATCACTGGTTGTCATAAAACAAACCTGTCTGAGGCTTGTAGGACAGGACCAGTGAAACCCTCTGCTCAGGTCCTGGCTTCAGGGTAAAGGAGAGAAGAGTCAACTCCCCTCCAAGGGGAACTTGGTCCCTGACTGTCTGTTCCTCCAACAGGGCTCAGGGGTTTTCCTAACTGACTGTGAAAGCAACTCCCTGCTCTCTCCAGCCCTGCGTGGGGCAAGTTTCAGTCCTTTCCTCCTTGGAACAGACCCGGACTTCACCCTACCTGGCCTTTAATGATTTCCTCATTCTTCAGCACCACAGCCAGATGAGAGACTCCCTCCCACATAGGAGTGGATGGGCAGTTTCTCCAATGCAGGGCTAACCTCTTCCCCCACATCCCTGGGCTGTCAGTTCATCCCTTCCTGCCCCCATCCAAGCAGAGGGGCTAGCATGCACAGTCCATCACAGCCTCTGCCCTACACACCCCATCAGAGCCCCATGCCCTGCAGACCCTCCCGGGGCTCAAGGACTAGCTGAGAAAAGGAGATTCCCACAAGCTTAGGGAGAAATGCCTGCCTAAGGGAGTGGGTGAGATCCCAGCCGGTGACTCCAGCAGGCTGCCAGGGGCAATGGGTCCCAGCCCACTGTGTTGTGGGACCTGACTGGCTCCCCCTGGGAGCTCTGGCACATGTACCATCTTGGGAATGGGGCTGGGGGGCAGGTTATTTTTAAATCTATCTGACTCAGAAGGAAACCTAAAGCAACGAGCTGATGTTCCCCTAGCACAAGCCCCACAATAAACAAGACAAACCTGCCCTGGTCTCCTGTGTAACCTGTGCAGGCGAGGAGTGGCCCCTTTTGCCAGAATCTCCGTGGAGAGCAGGAAATTATATTTAAAAGCAGATGGACTGAACCATGGAATTACACGTGTTAAACACTGAGAGGCCATGCTTCCTACTGTCTCCCCCAGCCCCATTTTTAACACCCTTTGCAGTCCCTGGGATGTTGAAGGCATCTCACTGCAGTAGCATGGGATAACCTACTGTGACGGGTTGGATCACAGAAACCCCTGGGAGCTGCCACCTGACTCTGCCCCTGCCTTCCCCCAGCACCCTTCCATGCTGAGCCAGACACTCCCGTCTGTTCCAACACAGCCACAGGGTCTGAATTACTTGCCCCAAAGCTGCAGACTTGACTGAAAGCAGCTTACAGAAGTGTTCCTGCCTTTAACACTCAGATGCCCAACTCCCAATGGGGTCTAAACCCAAATAAATCCATTTTACCCTGTATAAAGCTTATACAGGGTAAACGCATAAATTGTTCGCCC